ATTGAAAAACTCATTAATGAAAGCAGTGCGAATATCTTTCCAGCAGGTTAAAGATCCTGCTGGTATTTGCTTTAACCAATCTCTGGCTTCCCTCCCCAAGGAAAAAGGAAAAACTTTACAACGATTACTATCGTTGAGTGCGAATCCTTCTAGATAATCTAGGTGCTCATGGGGATGGTCTGAGACAGAGCCACAGAAGGGGTTCTTTTGTACCAGATGGATGTAGTCAAAATGAAGTGTAGACTTATTTGCTTCATCCTCTGGTAGCTTAATAGCTACCTATTGGAATAGGTCTTAATGGGATCTAAGTAATCTTGCAATTTTTCAACATCTTCAATTGAAGATGGATGGTTATTGACAGGGATTTCAGTCCCATGTTTAACTGTAAATTTATTGCATAACTGACCTATTGGTTCGTTTGGGACTACTTCCTCACTAATTAAATTGGTAAGTAAAGACTTACCTGCTTCCGGCTCGGTTGTACCGATCGATGTTGGTTGGATTATGTCGATCGATTTCTCGGTCAACATATCGCTCGATGTGTGCGTCACGTCATCGCTCGATGTTTGGCCGAAATATGTCTTTTCCATCTTGGGTTCCCTGCAGATTAGAGAAAGAAGAAAAAGAATTAAGTAAACAATAAATAAAATTCTAGACTGTATTCTAAACTAAATCTGGTGGTAATAAAAAAGAGTCCCCGGCAACGGCGCCTAATTTGATATCACTCAAATGTTTTACCCTAAGGAGTGAATTACTCTCTCAAATAAGAGGTTCAATCGTAGTACTTAGGGATCGAATCCACAGAGACTCTAGAATTACACAACAGATTATTAAGTCTTCGAAATAAAGCTAGACAATAAGAATTTAAACAGTAACTAAAAAGGTAGCAAATAATTGCTTGATTGATTGGTTGGTTTGTTAAGAAGAAAGGAAGGTAGTTAAACTTAGGTATTTTCTCAGGTATGACATACATGCAAGTTGTAAAGGATTTTTATTATTCATAGTTCTAGATTCAAACTTTCAAGGGGTTTACGGATTAACTCTACTGGATCTCGGGTTAGGACTATCGTCCGATAACCTGTAGGGAATATCGATCGATGTTTCTATCGAGACAATCGATCGATGCTAATGCCGCTATATCGATCGACATGGCTGTCACGACGTCGATCGATATCACATCCAGCGAGTGGTGAAGGTACGTTTGAATGGGGTATCTAGTCTTCATTAAATTAACTTAGACTTAGGGGATTTGCCAAGCTATCCCTTGTCCAAATTGACCTTAATATCAGAGGTAAGGGTGATCAATACTTGGTCTTAGCATTCATTGATAACTAGATTGAGAGCTATATTTTAAACACCCTAATAATGGTTCTATTCAATGCATGAGTCAACCTTAATGAGAAACCTAAATCTAACAAGAAAGACTACTCAAACATATTCATGAGAGACAAAGTCATGATGGTCTGAATAATACTTTAAGATAATTATAAAAAGAAACAATAAGTAAAAAGGGAGTTCAAGATCTTCTCTGTAATTGTAGTTTCAGATCTCTCTCTCCATCAAAACTCTTCTCAAAAGATAGCTAGATGCTTCTCCTTATTAGGTCTAAAAGGTCTCCAAGATGGTCTATCTAAACTAGTACAAAACCCTCTTAATATAGCCTAACAGGCGGCCAGGGACTTAGTGTGTAAATTATTAGAACTCCTGTGAAGCAATTAGGGCTTCTAATCTTCATTTAATCGCTTGGATAACTTATGTATCAATCGATGTCAAATGACATATATCGATCGATACGGGTAATCTTCTATCGGTCGATGGCTCTTAATGTGCGTCGGTCGATAGTTTATTCATCGTTTTGCTGATATCTTCATAAAGTATCCAATTTAGCTCCAAAATGTATAAGAGAATGCATAGAGAGAGGACAGATTACGATGGAGCATGTGTCTAGTGATCAACAGAAAGCTGATATCTTAACTAAAGCTCTTGGAAGGATAAAGTTCAGAGAAATGAGAGATTTGATTGGGATGCAAGAATTGGTGAAGGAAGGTTTCAAGCTTAAGGGGGAGACTGTTGGGATAAGCTTGAATCCCAAAGAGACTTGAAGCACAAGGCGATCAACCTAATCCTAACCGAGTTATGGATAAGAAGCATAATAGAATTAGGAGTTATCTAATATTGTGTTTCTATTAGGATTAGGATAAACATGAATTCTTCATATAAATATGTGTCGTGTGTGACACAATATTGTTGAGTGAGTTTGGAGATTGTAAGCTTGAGTTTTGAGTTAGTTTCTCTAGTTATTAATAAGAGAGTTAGTCTTATTAAATCATTGAATTCTAGAACAAATTGGAGACATAAATATGAAATACTGACTTAATAATCAATAAGGAGGAGTCGACGTTTGGATTACACCGAGCCACACCAAAAGCGGTGCTGGAATACATCGATCCCGGCGTGGGATGAGGCCCGAAAGTTGGAACCCGGTTAGCACTCACGGTAACTGGCATAAGAGTTGCCTGAAACCAAATTGAGAAGGTCTCATAAACAAGAAACAGAACTCCATGCTGAATAAAATGAATCGACCGCTAACAAGAGCCATCGACCGATAGAAGATTACCCGTATCAATTTGGTTTCAGGCAACTCATGTTGGTTACCCGATGAACTCCCTTGTGAGGAATATGCAGGGGAGGTTAGAGATACTCGCTATATCAGTTCATGCTGAAGGTGACACAAGCATGGATCATTACGATGAGCATGATGATATGGCATTGCAGAAGAACAATCTATTGTTACCTATTGAGACTGAGACAGATCCCGTCGTTGAACTTAGCAAGAAAATGCAGAAGCAAGAGATGGGGGGTACAGGTAACAACACCACAAAGCAAGAAGGGGGAGAAGGAAAAGGAACCAAGTGCAGCATCTGCAACACGTTCGTTGGGGAAGCTACGCAACACAGAGAGCATTGTAAGACTGATTGGCACAAACACAATTTGAAGCGCAGGACTCGTAAACTGCCTCCTCTTATTGCTGAAGAATGCATGGCTGAGATTGATAAGGACGACTCTAAAGCAGATCTGAAAGACTACTCTTACTGAAATTTACAAAGTTTGCATTTAGTGCCTTCTTTTGTTGTAAATTTATGTCAAATGTACAAACTTGTGGAGCTGATTAATGGTTTTTTTTTTCAATAATACCTGGAATGAATTTTGGTTAACATTAACATAGCCTTTCCCAGTCTATAAAGTATGGTGGCTATTGTGTTAAGAGTATTTAACAATAGACATTTTAGATCTTAAACATTTCAGCTAGAGTTTTGATAGAACCGATCAAAGACATCGAACATGCGGTTTGCCCTGTTTTGGTCGAGAGAAGAGGTATATAACGACATTGTCAGAATTTAGGAAAATTTCATCAACACACATCGAAGACGAGATAACTGAAGGATACAGCACATGATCCATTGCCTCCATGATGATCCAACACCCATAGAAAGATGTACACTATAACTATAAGAGCATGAGGAAACTCCCCAAGATTAAGAAAAGAAAAGAAAAACAGCAACTCGAGATGGTATTTGTGGTTGTGGACGAGGTGACCTAGAAACCAGTTGTTGTACAAACCATGCTACCTCCTCCTGATGTATTAAGCACAGCATAGCGTAGCGGCTTATATAGCCTAATCTTTATCCTGAGTTTGTGATGTGCTTTAGAAGCAGATAACATTATCCGTATTCGAGAGTCTCTTAGTCTTCTTCATCATACGTTCCAATCATACTGAAAACTGTTGAAACCACTGACTGCTCCTAAGATTTGGTTTCCAAGATCCTGTGGCACGTTTGGATCCCTGACCATCATCCCAACTCTTCCATTCATAAGACTGCCACTGTTCCCATTAATATTCACTCCCATGGACTGAGCCATCCCAACACCAAACCCATCAGCACCTCTAATACTTGTGTTGCTGTTATTGTTTATTTGACCGTTCATCAACAGAACACCCGAGCTATTTACATTATTACCTCCCTTCCCGTCATTCATAAAAGACCCATGCCCACCAACCATGCTACCTCCTCCTGATGTATTATGAGCTTGATTATTCATCAGGATCTCATTAAGTATCTTCTGCACCGAGCTAGAATCATTTGCTTCATTAGCCGCTGCCTGCTGAATTGCTTGTAAGTTTGTGGAACCCATGTGATTATTAATAGATGTTATCCTACTTTGAGATAGATTGTTGTTGTTAGATGAGGAAGTTGGTGACTGAAACGATGGCAGGTTGTGTTGTTGTTGTTGTTGTTGTTGTTGCTGGGATGATGGCGTCATGGTACCCGAGGTGCTTGGTGACGGCATCTGAACTGCGTTTCCACCATATGGACTGTTTGGAGTATTGTAAGCAGCATTCAGCCCTGCGAGGCTGCTTGTGGAGGTGGATGCAGAAGCTGCGTTAAAGGCATAATTTACTAAGCTTTGCCCAGAACTCCAATCGTTGTTTGCAATCTGGGCAACTGATTGCTGCTGCTGCTTTAGCTGTTCATTGGGTTGCTGACCAGAAGGACCAGGCAGTGCAGACGAATGACTTGTTCTCCGTGGAAACTGGGATAAACTCTCTGTACCAAATAAAAAAACGAGAAGAAAAGAAAATTTGACACGAGATATCTATCAGACTCACACATTAGATTCAGCTGTTGCGATAACAAGGGCAAACGATCAAAAACAGATTTAGTTTCTTAAAAGAAACAGATGCTTGGAAGGAGGCACATTTTACTTACCGATTGGTCCTGTTCTTGTTTCTCTGCTATAATCTATCAAGTCCTTCATACTATTTACAACCTCCGAGATCTGAAAGATTGCAGAAAATCAATAAGCATTAGTATTATTGCATGGTCATGTTAAGAGGACTTGGTTTAATTATCTTCATCCGTTGAATGCAAAGCAAAGCTCTATGCAAGTTGAAATGGCACTTACTCACATTGAGATATTATTCAATTATCCATATATACCTGCAAACACCGAACATATCTCTTTGTGTATCCTAAATCATTCACGAGTGGTACTTCTAGGGCCTTTGCCAACTGTCTGGCAGATGCAACAAACCTGCGCAACAAAAGAAGCACGTCTGAGATAACCAATAGAAAGTTGAATAACAGAGAGAGATGAAGTATACATGTTGCAATTGTTTTGCAGCTCCGGAAAAGCAGAATCAGTTGTTGCATTTTGGGCGGCTTGTTGATATTTCTGCGCTGCTGACCCAAGCTGACTAACCTGCACATGATAATCCTAATTACCTAAGCAGTTTTTGTTGATTTTGAGGTAATTTTCCCAATTTTACATAAGAAAAAAAAAAGGTGAAGTGATAAAGTTAAAGAAAAACTCAAAACGAAAGTAAAACAGACTAAAATAGTGCTAGGAAAGCATATCCTACTTTGTGACAGCATATAGAAAGTATTTCCTATGATAAACATATTATGGATCCGATCTATCAGTTTTGTCAGAAAGATAAACCCAAAAGATGCAGTTTCAATTACGAGAACACAAAGAAAATCTTTCTGGAAGTTACCTGCGGTATCAAAAGTCGTCGTGGAATAAGCTCTTCATGCCGCCGAGCACAGAATTCCCAAGAGAATATCTGAGAAGGAAAATACAAAAAGAAAAATATAGGGCTTGGAGAAAAGAAAAAATTGTAGAGAGAGAGAGATAAAGAGAGTAATTTGAATAACCTTAAGATCTGGTGAGAAAACTATTCGAAGTTGGCCATCACGAACAACTCGAAGCTGCTCAAACACACTCTCTTGGGTCGCTTTTGCATACTCCAGGACAATTTGACCAGATGAATTCTGAGACTCCCTTGGCATATCGACATATAAAAGTTCTTCCAAAGTCCCACTTTCATACTTTATCTTAAATAGCCGCGGGAGCACTTCCGCGGTTGCCTCTAAACAATGAAAAGAGGGAAAGCAAACAAAAGGATCCGTAAGGAAGGACCACAGAAATTGTTAGAAAAAATAAATTCTAAAAGCACTATCCTCCAAATAACATACCAAAACCACGTCCAGGCTTTCGGTTACATATCTCACAGTGCCACACATCCTGCAATGTAGGTGAATAAACATCTATTCAAAAGAACTGCTTGGTTGCATGAGACCAGAATAGCAAAAGAAGATGAAAATGACAAGTAAGAGCATGTTTCTAAGTGAGCAGTAAACNAAATTCTAAAAGCACTATCCTCCAAATAACATACCAAAACCACGTCCAGGCTTTCGGTTACATATCTCACAGTGCCACACATCCTGCAATGTAGGTGAATAAACATCTATTCAAAAGAACTGCTTGGTTGCATGAGACCAGAATAGCAAAAGAAGATGAAAATGACAAGTAAGAGCATGTTTCTAAGTGAGCAGTAAACCTGAGGGAAAACGCCAGTTGTTTGCCGGCCACTACCATACATAGAAACGCACCATCTCTTTTTGGCATTAGGAGCAAAGTACTCGGCAACAAATTTTCTCCAGAACTCTATGTTATTGTCCTGCATTTAAAATCAAACACACCTATTAATCATGAAGGAAAGCACACGCTTGAGAAAACAATTACGGTAAGAAGCTTTACTTCAGGCCTATGTTGTTGTCGGTACATATACTGTGTAAGACGCTGAGCACCCATGCCAGGTTCATACAGTGGTCTCAAAGGTGGCCTCTGCTGTTGGAACTGTTGTGGTAATTGAGGACGCTGTTGAGGCATTGATTTCAGGAGATGTTGCTGATGTTGAAGTTGCATAAGTCTCTGCTGGTGAAAAATATGCATTTGAGATTGCCCCGGCATTTTAGGAAACTGTTGTTGTTGTTGTTGTTGTTGCTGCCTCTGCTGCTGCTGCTGCTGCTGCTGCTGTTGGAGAAACAATGACTGCTCTGAATGCTGGGGCTCCACTTTCACTTGTGCTAAGTTTCTCATGGCCTGAAGTTGCTGCGGTTCCAGCTTAACCGAACCTAAGCTCCTCAGCATTTTATGTTGCTGCTGGTTGGTGGAAACCTGACTACCAGGTTCCAACTTGACAGGTCCCACGCCAGCACGGTGTTGCTGCTGTTGCATCGACTGCTGACCATGTTGAAAATTCTGAGGCTCCATTTTCGTTCTCGGCTGTTGCTGGTTAGCTGGAACGTTGGAGAATTGCTGACCGGGCGAGTTGAAAGAGGACAAACCACTAAACCCGATGCTAGACAGAGGGTCTGACTCAGCCATCGCAGCGCTGTTGAGGAGTGAAGATATGTTTGGCATACTCATAGTCATGTTGTTACTGAACTGAGTCAGTGGAGAAGGAAGAGGAGCTCCTTCTCGGGGAACATTATCGTCACTGCCAACTGGATTTGGCGCCTCTGATGGTACCATACTCCGAACAAGCAAGTAACAATCTTAAANGACAGAGGGTCTGACTCAGCCATCGCAGCGCTGTTGAGGAGTGAAGATATGTTTGGCATACTCATAGTCATGTTGTTACTGAACTGAGTCAGTGGAGAAGGAAGAGGAGCTCCTTCTCGGGGAACATTATCGTCACTGCCAACTGGATTTGGCGCCTCTGATGGTACCATACTCCGAACAAGCAAGTAACAATCTTAAACAGGGCAAAATCTCAGCTTTGCCTCTGACCAATGATAAGCTTCAGAGTCGTAAAACAGATGATGAAAAGAGCTGAATCTAAGTGGTGAGATTCCGTATGGAACATTCTACACCGAATTTCCAGATCCGAATTTAGCAAATCTACTCCATTCAAACTCAGCAGCACCTTACAACAAAACAAACCCATCAAAGAAAATAGAAGAAACAAAGCTCGATCAAAACCCTAAAAACAGATATACAAGATTAGAACGATACTTACAAGAGAGCTGGTGAAGAATCTGTCTCCGATAAGCCTCAAATCAAAGAGAGAAAATCAGTAGCAGCAAGCTACTTTTTTTGTTTGTTCTTTCCGGGATAACCAAAGGAAAAAAAAAAAAAAACAATTCTCTGCCGCCTATAAACTGTCTTTTATTTAACTATACCTTATGTTTAGCTCAGAGTATTGTGTCCTGTTCTTCGCTGTATCTTTTAGAGAGAGAAGATGATGGAGAGAGAGAGTAGTGTCCCTTGCGGACGTCAAATTTGTATTCGATCTGATTTTTATTTCATTCCCTCTTACTGCTTTTCGTTTTGTTTACTCTGTCTCTCTCCTCCTTCAGATGAAGTCAATGACATTTACCCTAGATACTCTTATCATATTTTTTATTGTTCCTTTGGTTGCAGTATTGAAATGTATGTTTTCTTGCATATTTTTTCTTTCTACGAACTATTTCCAATTAACTTTATAGATTGAAAAAGAAAAGTCTTTTTAGTCATATCGTTATATCAAAAATAAATTTTAAAGTTGATATTCTTTTAGTACAAATTTAATTCAACATTTTTATAAGGTAGTGAATTTTAAATATTGATTTAATAACTATAATACTAATAAATTAAATTATAAATGAAAAAAAATCCAACCAAAAAAATAAATAGAACTCAATGTAAAATAATTAGTTAATATGTCATTAATTAATTATTTTAGTTATATAATGATAGAGGATTTGCCAAATATGATTTAAAACTTGATTTTAAATGCAAAAGTGTACCCAAATTCAAATCAAATGCAAAAATAACTCAAAACACTAGTGAAGTTGCAAACATCTCCTCATAACCAAAAACCAAAAAACAAGATTATAGTTTATCATTATAACCTTGCGAGTGAGAAAACTTATATGAAAGTTTTCTCATGCTGTAGATATTAAAAATAATTTATAAAATTAAGAATAAAATAATTTGGTTAGTAAAAAATCCTAATCATGTCATTATTGACATTTATAAATGATGTAAATACTGATTTAATAATACTGAATATTTTTCAAGATATAGATGAGTGAATATAAGTTTGTCATGATATTCTTTGGTTTAGGTTTGGTAACTATGTTGTAGTATTGTATATCTTTTTAGTGTTAGATTGTGGAATCTTAACATTTTTTAAAAACTAAATTTTAGCTATATGTGTTTAGTTTTTTGTAGATTAAACACTTTATAAGTTTGATTTAGTTTTGGTAAAGTTTTTGTATGTGATTTAGTTATATATATTTGACTTCTTTGATTTTGGGGTTTTAGAAGACTTATGAAGACTTAATAATAGTTTTCTGTTCAAAATATAGGTTTCCCGTTTAATATTCTAAAGAAATTAGGTTTCGAGCTTAAAATTAAGTATTCCAATGTCTTCTAAAATCTTCCAAGGAAAGTTTTCTAATGTATTAGTTCTTAAAGTAATTTATAAATTTCATAAAAAATATATTTATAGGAGAAAAATCATAATCATCTAATTATAGACATTTGTAAGTGATATAAATTTAGACTTAATAAAATTGAATTATTTTCAACATAGATGAGTTAATGTAAGTTAGTCATGATATTCTTTGTTTTAGGGGTTGGTAACTATGTTGTAGTATTATATGTGTTTCTAGGAATAGATTTGTGAAATCTTAACATTTTATAAAAAAAAAACTAAATTTTACCTATATGTGTTTAGTTTTGTGTAGATTAAACACTTTATAAGTTTAATTTAGGTTTGATAGTGTTTTTGTATGTTATTTAGTTATACATATTTGACCTATTTGATTTTGGGGTTTTGAAAGACTTAATTTTCGAAGATATAATGCACTCGAATACCCACCCGATGACTTAATAACTGTTTCCGGTTTAAAATAAAGAAAAATTTAGATTTCCCGCTTAAAATTCTTTTAAAAAAATAGGTTTATCACTTAAAATTAAGTATTCCAATAAGTCTTCTAAAGTCTTATAAGGAAAGTTTTCTAGTGTATTAGTTCTTAAATTAATTTATAAAATTTCATAAAAAATATTTTGATAGGGGAAAATCATATCATCTAATTATAAACATTTGTAAGTAATATAAATTTAGACTTAATAAAATTGAATTATTTATAACACAGATGAGTGAACGTAAGTTATGCATAATAATCTAGAAGGCTTAAGAATACTTTGAAAGACTTACTAGAAGACCTTCAAAGACCTCAGAAGATCTGGAAGACCTCGGAAGACCTACTTAAAGTCTTCCTAAGTCAAAGTCTTCTTAAGTCTTCCAAAGTCCACTATTTCCCGCTTAAATTTTAATGAAATTTTAGATATCCTGGTTAAACATTAAATAAAAATATAACAATATTTTTTATTAAATTAATACTAAACATCTGAAAAATAAATGATGAAAGATTAGAGAAACCATCAGAAAAAAAAAAACCTAGTTCTGAGAAAAAAACCCATGCATCTCTTTCTCTTGAGACAAGAGCTTCCCTTCCCCTCATTCTCACAGAACAATCTCTTATGGGTCTAGGAAGCCTTTTATGCCCCCATCTCATTAACTAAATGTGAATTAATGAAAGTACCCTCATATTATTAAATCTGAAAAAAATGAAATGTGATTTTGTATTGCAGTTTTTCTTAGATTGGTTGGTGATTGTGGTTTGGTTGAAACAGATCGTTTTGATCATTATAATCAAAATGGAAATTCCATTTCTCGAGACCCGCTCCTCCTCCATTCCCTTCCTCCCCCGAAACCCTCTGCTCCCCCCCTCCCGAAACCCCGTCGTTTCTCCCTCAACTCAGTTCCGGAACCCTCAGCTCCTCCTCTACTCAAAGGTTTTTCGTCGGGGGCCGGTCGAGTTGCAGGTGAGTTATGGTCTCTGACTCGAGTAGATTTTACTGGATGTTTAAATTGGATAGAAATTATAACGACATTGCCTTGTTTGAAATTGGTTATCCTAATGCTTTTCAGCGGTGGAAGGAGAGTGTATAGGGGAACCGTGTATAGGCACTCAATTTGAACCTAGATCGATCTAGGTAACTCAACTGAAACCTAATTCAAATTTTCTGATGATTGTAGGATAACTGGGAAAAAATGGAAAACTAGAAATAACTAATAGAACTGTAGATAACTAGAAACACTATGAACAACGGGTATAACTTTGGATAAATCTGGAAGGGGACAATGAGCAATCACGTGAGATCGTTGCGTGGAAAGAATCTGGCGGTTTCTGATATACCTGGAAGTCCGGAAGAGAGCTACAAGATGATGTATAGTTATTTGTACATGTTAGAGCAAGTGAATCTGGGAACAAAAACCTTTGTGAAATTGGATGAGGGATCTAAATTTAAGTACCTCTTTGTAGCCTTGGGAGCTTGCATTGAAGGTTTTGCAGTTATGAAGAAAGTGATAGTTGTGGATGCGACATGGCTGAAGAACGGATGTGGTGGTGTTCTAGTGTTCGTGAAAGCTCAAGATCCTAATCGTTACAATTATCCACTTGCGTTTGCAGTGTTAGATCGAGAGAATGAAGCTAGTTGGACTTGTTTTTTTTTAGATGCTTAAAAATGTTATACCAGACTTTTCTGAACTGGTTTTCATGAGTAACAGAAATATAATCATGATCTCCGCTATAGCAAACGTGTTTCCTCAGGCTCACCATGGTCATTGTTTATGGCATTTGAAGGAAAATGTGAAATGACATGCTTGTAGCGTCAAAAATGATATAGTTGGGCATAGATTCATGGAGTTGGCCAGATATTACACGGTGGCTGACTTCAACTCTGCTTACGAATCATTTAAGATAAGCTATCCTTTAGCCTACAAGTTTGTTGAAGAACATACTAAAAAGGAAAAATGGGCAAGTGTTTTCTTTCCACGTGACATGTACAACTTGGATACAAGCAACACATCCATGAAGAACGTGTTTAAAGAGGCAACAACGTGGGTCTTAATACCAATGCTGGATTGCATCATCGGGAAATTCTTTGATTGGTTCAATCAACATCGGAAGGATGATGTTGCTGGATCAATTGATAGCAAACTGGTGCCTCTGGTTGAGAACTACTTGTACGAGCTATGGCATGTTGCACAAAAGTTACTTGTGTGGGAGCTTGATAGTTATGAGTTTGAGTACGAGATCACCGACACTGAAGGAAATAATTTTATGGCGAGCTTAGTTGAAAGAAGTTGTACTTGCAAGGTGTGGGATTATGAAAAGTTTCCTTGTCTTCACGGACTGGCTGCTTACATATATTTCACTACAAACGTTGGCATGCGCATTCATATCCATGAGTTGTGCTCAGAATACTATTGGTCGGAGCTTTGGCCAATGGCATATTCCAGGATACTTAATGTTGTGCCCGACAGGTCTTTTTGGAATGTACCGGATTACATCAAGGAGGTGAAGATCATGCCTCCGGATTGCATCACATGGAAGGGAAGGAAAGGAGTTGGAAGTTAGTTATTTGGATTTAGGAGTAATGCCTTTAGCATATGTTATTCGTTTATTTTATGTTGTATGATTCGGAAAACTGCGTAAAACTTGGTGCCTAAATAATTAAAAATTTCTCTATCGAGAGTCAAACCCCATTTCCCGAATCTTCCATTTACTGACACCTATTTCAATCAATTATCTCTCTCTTATATTATCTGAAACAACACAAGTTCAACCTTTCGAACAGTTGTACCTGAAAATTTAGATCTCTCTCTCTCTCTCTCTCTCTCTCTCTCTCTCTCTCTCTTCGGGAAAATTGAAAATGAAAAATCGAAGATGTATGCGGGTTCAGGATTGTCGAGGATTCGATCATCGACGAGGAGCCGAAATTCTGGTCGGGGATTCTGTTTTTGTGGCTTACGGGCGCATATAACACAATCTTGGACTGACAAAAACCCATGTCAACGATTTTATGGCTGTCCATGTTATAAGGTATGAGATATGATCGAGATATGATAATTGAAATTTTGATGTGAAATATAAATTTAAAAATATACTTGGACCTTGTGGCAGCTTGGAGATGGATGTGATTACTTCTCTTGGTTTGATGAAGAGGAAGGTATGAAATGGCAAAGAACAGCTTTCCTTGAAGCTCGTGATGAGATCAATCGGAAGTCGGCGGTGATTGGATAATTAACTAAAACCATCTCAGAAATGAAAAGAAATCTCGAGAACAAAGAGACAGTGGATGACGAAAATGAAGATGAGATTGTTAGAAAGTTTGTGGAATTCTATGTTTAATGTTTTGGATTTTCGGTTTTTTTTTTTTCTCATTTCTGGTATGTCTTCCTCTTAACTCAGTCCTCGTGTTTTCCAGTTTGTTTTCCATTATTTTCCAGTTTCTTTTCCATTTCTTTTCTTCGGCGGATAAGCTTATAAGACTTTATTTTGTGGTTTGTCTAAGGCTTGTAAAACTCTAATCTTTGGTTTATTTAGTTTGTGCTTGATGATAACATGTATTAAAATTGCAACATGATCTGATGAAATTGCAACATCGCTAACATAAAGTTCTTCAAAATAACCAGACATGAAAATTGTAACTGTAATTGTAACATCAAGAAAATTATAGTTTCAAACTTCTACAAAACTGAGAAGCATAGAGTTCTACCAAAATAATCAAACATGAAACATCAACAAAACATGAATCAACTCCGACTTTGTTTCTTCCCTTTCTCTTTGATGTCTTCTGCCCTTCCTTCACAAACAGATGGGAACACCATCGACAATGAACCACACTTCTTTAATTGCTTCAATAGGCTCAAAATGCTGCAAATTACAATTACTTGTACGTCAATTATACCAGTAATACCAAATAATTTTCGCAAAGTTGCTATAGTATTCTCTAGTATACCTTCCTATTACTAATTTTACCTAATTCTCAATGTTTCACCGAGTGGTACTAGTATTACGTATAGTTATACTATAATTTCCAGGTTCTACACATCATCACCATAATTCTTACTTCTAGTTCACCAAAACATGTCCAATTCAAACAAAATTAGGATTCAAAATCCAATCCAATTCTAATTTGGAAATTATCATATTTGTTATCTCGTTATCGTTCTCCTCATTCTGGTCCCCATCTTTAACTTTTTCTGCTACGTTTTCCGAACCCTTATATTCAAGGACATCATATTTTCTATCATTCTCTTCTCTAGCAGTAACCACCGCAGCTTCGATGAAGACACTTATCGGCTCCGAGATTGTCTCACCTATCTCAATCGCCGTTGCGGGTCTCCCTTGCGACCCTTCATCCGGCCTCTTTGCCATCTCTTTTCTCCTTTTCACTCTATCGATTTTCTCCAATTTTCACACATAAATCCATGACGAAGAATGGAAGAGCGGGAAGGAAGGAATCGAACTCTGGAAGGTACAACTTAGAAAGAATTTCGAAAGAATAAGAAAATTGGGAGCCAATCCAATCTAAAATTAGGGTTTTATTAACCCAGAGTGGGGATTCGTTCTAAGTTTCCTTCACTTTTTGTTTTAGGTTTTGTTTGGATCGCGGTTTGAATTAGATTGGATTGAATTTTGGTACAACTTGTAAATAACTTAACTTTTCTACGGTTTAATGGTCTTTCCATACAATCCTAATTAAATAAAGATAGAAAATATCCACTTTTTTTATAATGGGTCTTTGGAAGATTGATTCGTGAGATGTAGGGATGGGCACAAATACTTGATACTCGGCTTGTACTCGTTACTTGACTCGGTTTGATTTGAAAAAACAAATACTTGTTACAATCAAATGGAATAGCAAGTAATTGGATTTTATTACTCGCAAGTACAAGTCAAGTATCAAGTTCATTTTTATTTTTAACTACTTAGCTTGTTACTTGTTATCACTTACTTATTCCATTATTTGTCATATTTTACTTGGTTTATTAAATATTTAATATCCATTTAATTAGTTAATTAAAATTATGTATTATATTTTATTGGTGACCATAATTACTTGTTGTTTGCCACTTATTCGATACTTGATGGATACATAATCTATAAAAATTAGTATTTGTTAAGAAAAAGTTAAGTATCAAGTAATCTATTTAAATTACTTATATATATAAAGTAAATATTAAATTAATTAATTATTTGACGTTGTTTTGTTTGTTACTTGTGTTTGTTAATGAACAAATATATATATATATATATATATATATATATTTAAATCATAGTAAAATAACTCATTTCTATTCTCATTTTCATAAGTACATCAAACATAAGTGTTATATTTATATAAGCATCTTAAAGTTTTCTCTTTCTTATATAGTCTATTTTTTGGATAACTTAAATACGAAAAACATGACATATTATTTATATAATAAATTTATTTAACTTTAAATTCAAATTTATAAGTAATTTACAAATAACAAGTAATAAAATAAGTCAAGTAACTTAAAAATCCGTCAATTTTTTTTGCAATTACAAGTATTTGTTTTTTGTAAACCAAGTACAAATCAAAATATTAAGTACACCTACAAGATAAATTGAGTACTAAATATATCAAAAATACCAAAATACTCGCTTGTGCCAACCTCTAGCTCTTGCCTCCTTTCTCTTTGACGCAGCCTCTCTCCTTTTTTGTCTTCTGATACACACAGAGTGATGAGAGATTAGAGATTAGAGATGAAGTCATTGACAGTCTCCGATGGATCTTAGGAGCACGATGAGACGTCTCGCCGCGGATACAATATAAGTTCCAATGTTTACAATCTCTTAAAGGCTCGAGGAGCTAAAGCTCCGGTAAGTTCCTTTGTTTCTTGAATTCCATTGTGGTTAGTTCCTCTGTTTCTTGAAATTCCTCTGTTTATTGAAACTGGAGAGGTTTGGTGTTCTTTGCTCTAAGGTGTGTCTCTTTCACTCACTCTCCCGTAAACCAAATTCAACTCAAATGGCGCCAACGACGACATTCTTCCGTCCACTGCTTCCTTCTAACAGTTACAAAGCCAGAGATGTAGCCTACTCGTTTGTCTCAGCTCCTCGTTCCTCAATCCCCTCTTCTCCGTCGTCTCTTCAGTTTCGCTCGCTTGTTTCAGATGATCCGAGAAAGTTAACCGGAAAGCTCAGAAGAGTATCCTTCATTGTTTCCGCTGCCCCAACAACTGATCCTCTCACCGTCCTCGTCACCGGTGCTGGTGGAAGAACAGGTACTCACTCTCTCAGATCGTTTCGTTTCGTTTCAGTAGATATCTGTTCATATTCTGAAGACTAATGTTAAAGACGTTATCATCACTACACTCAAATCATAACGTGTTTTATCTGTTCAATGGTTTGATGAGTTTGTGTGTTGAAACAATGTGCAGGGCAAATTTGTGTACAAGAAGTTGAAAGAGAGGTTGGATCAGTTTGCGGCGAGAGGTTTAGTGAGGACGAAAGAGAGCAAGGATAAGATCGGTGGAGAGGATGAAGTGTTCATTGGATACATCCGTGATCCTGCAGCCATTGCTACTGCTGTTCAAAGGATTGATGCTTTGGTCATTCTTACAAGCGCTGTGCCGCAAATGAAACCTGGTTTTGATCGTAGAAAAGGAGGAAGACCTGAGTTCTACTTTGACGAAGGAGCTTATTATGAACAGGTTACAACACTATGCTTTGGTTTTTGTTATTCCTAACTCGGTGTACCAATAGAAAGTTCCGGCTGTACAGTTTATTTTTGTTGAGAAAATTTTCTAGAACAGAAAAGAATCATATAAATACGGTTTTAACGGTTTGTAAATTAATCATTCACATTGATTAATAAAATTTATAATGCGTGGGCGACTCATTTGAGTTTTCTCTCTAGTTTTTTAGTATTATTGAGTTTTCACAACAATTTTGATCTTTTATCTTTTCTTTTTTTTTGCAGGTTGATTGGATTGGTCAGAAAAATCAGATAGATGCTGGTTTGTATTCACTTCTTTGAGTTTTTTTTATGTGTGTTTATAGCCAAAGTGTTGATGATTATCCTGCATTTGGTGCAACAGCTAAGGCTGCAGGAGTTAAGCAGATTGTTTTCGTAGGGTCGATGGGAGGAACAAACATTAATCACCTCTTGGTATTGGCAATGCCAAAATTCTGGGATCTCTATCTTTCTTTGCTTTCTTGAACAGAGAAAATTAGTTTCGGTTTGATCAGATTGTCAACAATCTTTCCAGACAATGCCAAAGTAGAAAACCACAAAGCACATATAGATCTCTCAAGTAAGGAGAATGCTTAACATTCATATGCTATGAAATGTTCTAAAATGTCAAGGGTTTTGATCATTGACAAGATGATTTCATGACTGCAGATTACTACATAGCACCAGAGGTTTATAAAGACGAAATATTTGACAGAAGGGTGGATGTACACTCATTTGGTGTCATTTTATATGAGCTAACATATCTTAGTCTTGCTCGTTTTTTCTTGTGTCTTGTGTCTGGTGTTTCTTTAATATGTGTGTGTGTGGCCAGATGACTGAGGGAGTACCAATTTTTCACCCGAGACCACCTAAAGAAGTTGCAAAATGATATTCTTAGAAGGAAAGAGACTTGTATTCAAAACTAAGTCAAGAAGTTGCAAAAATTATATTCTTAGAAGGAAAGAGACTTGTATTTAAAACTAAGTCATTTTGTCTCTTGAATTGTTGTATTCATCATCTCTTAGAACAGTTGTGTTTGTAATAAAATTTAGAACAAAGTCAATGATCTGTATAAAAGAGAGATTCTCTATGTTTCGTTTAATAACAAAACACAGTTCAATGAAGGACAAAAAAGCAAACTTAAACAAAAACTAGGAGTTGCATCAAATAAACTAGAACAAAAGTATAGACATTCACCAAAAAGTGATTGATAACGTTTAAGCCACTTCGGACAAATGTTAAGTAGAGCTCTTTAGCTTCCAACGTTTTTTTTCATCACTTTTAACGTAAAATCAACAAAATCTTTTAAGAAGTAAAACTAATAAAATTTTGTTATAAATAAATAATATATAATGAGTAGGTTAACTTTTTCAATTTCGTCTTTATATACTATCATGTTCTTTAAATTATTTAACACTTTTGAAAGTTAAAAAACTTATCTTAAAATTACTTAACATTATTTAAAATATAAGTTTACAAAAACTAACATAGAAGACTTCCATGGAAATTTTCTAAGAGAAGATTTCTTACTAAGTCTTCCTAGATTTAGCTAGAAACACTAAAAACATGAATATTAGTAACCTCATAAATATCACCAATTAAGTTATGAATTTCATTCAGGACCCTAAATATTGTCTAAAACACATGAATTAACAATAAAATCTTAAAAATTCACTTTAAATTTGAAGAAAATGAAAGTTTAGTAGACATTGTCGTAGAAGACTTCTAGGTAAGTCTTCGATTTAGGTCATTTTTGCAGTTGACAGACTTTCAGAGTCTTCTTTTGTAAATATTGGCTTACTTTTGCAATACTTTCTCGGATAAACATGTTAGTTTTCAATTGACCAATTTGTGTCTGAAATTTGACTTTCTACATAAGACTTTCAGGTAAGTCTTCCGCCGGAATACTTCAGAAAATTTACATGGAAGTCTTCTCAAGCTTTAAATTAATTCTACTCGATACGCCAGAAGACTTCGAAAGACTTACCTAGAAGTCTTCTGATAGAAGACTTATACTTTGATTACCTCAGGTTTGACCAGAATCACGAAGTAAAAATCTGAAAGACTTCTAGGTAAGTCTTCCGGCAGAAGACTTATCTGGAAGACTTACATGTAAGTCTTCGGGAAAAAGAATTACCTGAAAGCCTCCCAATTTATACTAAATGTTTTAAGTTTAAATTTTTAATTGCAAAATTAACATACGCAGACTTTCAGCGATATCGAGTAGACTTAATTTAAAAGTTGAGAAGATTTCCAGGTAAGTCTTACAAAGTCTTTCGGCGGAAGACTTACTTGAAAGTCTTCTGTAGAAGATCAAATTTCTGACACATATTGGTCAATTGTAAAACTAACTTGTTCATCTGAGAAGACTTACACGTAAGTCTTCTCAAATTTTTTTTGCCAACAAATAAAATTGAAAAACTTTCACGAAGATCTTCTCTATAAAACACACATAAAGTCAATTGCAAAACAAATTTATTCTTTGACCAGAAGACTTACGATGAGTTACGAAGACTTGCGAAGACTTGCGAAGACTTACTCGTAAAGTCTTCTAAAGAACAAATCTGGGAAAAAAATCAATTGATACCTTCAACCCCTGAATGAACTTGCTTAGTTTTAGTTCTCCAAGCACACACAACTTTATCAGAACATCTACGCAATCGCTAATGACCAGAAATCGTGAGTTTAGATGGCTATATGACCCTCAAAAATTTTAGAATCAAAAAGTTTAGATTTTTTTTGAATGAATATAGCTAGAAAGTGATATAGATGTAGTTTTTGGGCATAAGTTATGAGAATAAGTGAGTAAATTTTGTTTTTAGATGCATTTAGAACTTCATTTTAGTTGTTCATGGTTATTGGGTGAATTGATGGTAGTAGCATTTTCGTGATTAATTGATGAAGATGAGGATGACAGAGTAAAACACTCATTTTAAAAAAAAAAAAATAAATAAAAATAAAGGCATTTTTGTAAATAATCAGAATTTCTAGGGTGGATTGGGCAAATGAAATGCCAAAAAAAGAAGGTTAGTTTTGAGTTTGACTGAAGTTTTGAGTTATTTTTGAAAAAGCCCTAAAATGATTATGAAGAAGTTTTTAATTATTTCTGATTTTTTTAAAAAAAATATTTATATATTCGGAATATGTTTTATAATTTTATTTTCAAACATTTGTTAGTGAAATAGTTATCGGTTAATGAATTCTTCATGATTCTTTATATTTATGATAAAGATCTTCAAATAAATTTATATAATTTCTATAAATGTGTTATAAGAGTCTTTATGTATCTAAAGAAAAATAAGTTTCACCCAAAATTTTTAAGATCCAAAATGTTCCTACATGAAGAGTTCCCATTTTGAATGTGAGAACATTTTGGATCTCCAAACTTTTTGGTGAAACTTATTTTTCCTTAAATGCAGAAAACTCTTGTAACAAAGTTTTAGAAATTATATAGATTTGTTTAAAGATCTTTATTATAAATATAAAGAATCATGAAGAATCCATTAATCAATAACTATTTCACTAACACATTATTGAAAATATTATTATAAAAGATATTCCGAGTAGGATAACATAAATATTTACAAAAATTAATCGTAAATAAGTTAAAAATTCTTCATAATCATTTTATAACTAAGATACTCAATTAATGATATATTAACTAATTATTTTAAGTTGAGTTCGGTTTATATTTTTGGTTGGAATTATTTATTATCTATTAGTGTTATATTTATTAAAATATTTTTTTAAATATTTAAAATCAAATATTCTATAAAAATGTTAGTTTATATTTGTGCCCGAAAAATCATCTACTTTTAAAATCATTTTAGGCCTACCGTTTATCAACTATAACTGTTGAGTAACGGTATGACTAAAAATATATGATCGACGAAAATGTGTAATTAAAATGACTTGTCACCAAAAAATAATTGTTTTATTTTTTGCTTACAAAAAAATGATGCTTTATTTCAACCAAATTTGAGATCACCATGTAAGCCAAGCGATCTTCGCATTAGTTTATCATCTGCATCCTGATCCGTTTCAAGTTTATGTCAAGTCCACTAATCTCTCCACTTAAGCGACCTTCGTCGCTTAGATTAACCGATCCATCAACGAATCCACTTTCTCCCGTTTCATTCTGAAGGTTTAAGAGATACTGAAACACAACGATCTGAGTTTCTCTGGTGGATCCTTATTAACGTGATAAACAAGTTACTGATTAGCAATTGCTACAATGTGTCTGATGGCAAAGAAAAAAACATATGTTATAATGATGATGATGATAATGTATGAGGCAATCATTCTGGAGGATCAAGCTAATGATGAGCAGATCCAAGACTATCGACTCTCTTCCATTGGTAAGGTTATGAACCTTTTCAAGCAGAATGTGACCAAGCCGATTGAGTTTATGCCAATTTCATATCACTTAAATTATCTTAAAGATTGACTTTACTCTCTCAAATAAGAGGTTCAGTTGTAGTACATAGGGAACAAATCTACAGGGAGCGTGAACAAACAAGGTTAAGCTAGGCAATCAATATTAAAAACAATAAACAAGCAGCAAGAGTAGTAAACAGGTGATTGATTGGTTGTGAGAATATAAGAGATAAAAGCTAGAATTAGGGATCTATCAATCAAGTGATTGAAAGCTACAATTCAAGAATGTTAAGGGTTTTATAGATTCAATTCTAGAACTCGAATTAAATAAGTAAATAATCCACCTTTTGTATGAAATTAATAATCAGATGTCTGAATCCTATGTTCCAGCTGCCGCGTGTGAACAAGGAGTGAGCGTCGATCTATGCTATGGCTGAGCGTCGATCTACACTAATTCAGACAAGCATTAACACTCAATCGATAATATTCAACTAAAATTATAGGCCAATTGTTGTATGCGCCTAGGTATCTAATCCATAAGAGTTTTGGTTCCGTTAATCATTGCACTCGTGTGCCTCTCAATTTTCCTATGATTTTAGGTTCAAGTAATCAATCACACTGTCATATTTTTCTAACTATTCCAGATCCTAGTAGTACAAGATACCCTAGTGTAGACATCTATAAACAACTGATCAATCCTAATTTATTATCAGCTTGACATTAAACTCATGAAATTCTTAAATCAAACAAGATAGTTACTCAGACATGTAACTTTAAATCTACTTAACTATCTAGTATCGAAAATAGAGAGAGAAAAGGTGATAAATCTAGACAAGGCTTTACCTTCCAGACTTGTTTGAAGAATCTGATTCCGTGTATACCAAGCCCCAAGACAGGCAGTTGTGTCAGGTTTAGTGTTCGAGGTCAGCTTTGGTTCCTTCAAACAATCTAAGCAAGTGTGTATAGCTGATTGGTTGCTCCACTATAGCATCTTTAGTACTATCTGTAATCATTAAATCTAGAATGGTGCTAAAAGTGGTTAGATGACAAGTATAAATCAAATAAGATTATCATCCATTTTCTTGAGCTCAGTAAAAATAGTTTTGAAA